TTTTTTTTTTTTTTTTTTGAGGAATTTTACTATTCCGTGTATAATGTTATGAGAGTTTGTTGATTGTTTTCAGAAGTTTGAAGTTGGTAAGAAAGTCAACTAACTAAATAGAATAAATTTTAATAAAAAATAAAGAACTATTTGTATTTATTACTTTGCATTATTTTAAAGACCTATTTAAAAAATTTTTTATGCTACAATCAAGAAGATACATGAAAAATTAAGCAAAAACTTCTAGCAGTATTTACTTAATATTTGCGATTCAGCTGTTAGAAGCTCCTAACGGTACATTATATCATCGGAATCCACGAAGAAGAGCTCCATACCTTGGCACTGATCGCTATTGTTCTATTTTTGTGCACAAACGTAGAGAACAAGGTATGAAACAGATGTAATGAAAAGCCAGAAAAAAGAAGAAAAGGATCGTCAAAATTATGTTGCTTAGAATGATTGAAAAAAGAATTTTAGACAAAATTTTATTCATAATTGCTAAAATATGCAAAAATAACTTCATCAATTTTAGTATTTAATCAAATACTGAGCAAATATTTAGGAAGAAGAGATGATTTGTGGTCTTTTTTTTATATGATAGTTGAATTTATCGTTGGTCAGTTACCTTGGAGATCTTCATCTTATAAAGATTTGCTCTCGATGAAGGCATGATTTGCTCTCGTTGCTAGCAAAATTCTTATATTTCTCCTTTTCATTCATTTATTTCAGGCCATTTTATCCTGAAATTTATTACTAAGCTTCTGAAGCTTAATTTTTTTTCATATTTCAGTCTCAGAGTGAAGAACACCTATTGAAATATTGCCCATTAGAACTATACAGAATTTTTGACCATATAAAGTGTTTGAAATACGCTGATCGACCAGATTATGCATTGATCACTCAAATACTGCATGAAATTTGCGAACGAAAACATTATAAATTCAGTGATCCGTTTGATTGGGAAGAAGGTGGAAGGTAAGTTTAAAAGTTTCAGTTCTGAACTAACGCATAAAGTATATAATTTCAACTTTTTAACAGTGAAGAACTTAATATAATCTAAAAACTAGCAATTAATCTCAAAAATTAAATTAATGAAAATATTGAGAATTAGGAATAGTTTTTTGTTTTACAAAAATGTAATTAGTAATTTTGTAGCATTAACAGGAAAGAAATTCATTCATATAGGATTTTATTTTTTCATAAAAAAATATAAATATGATTTTATAAAAAAATTGACGTAAAATAATGCGCACGTACATTTGATGTAGTAATATGGAATATTTCAGATTTTATGCAGAACATTTGCAATCTGCAAAAAAAATTCAACAGAAAGAGGAGGAAAGAGAGAGAAATAAGAAAATGGAAAAGACAAAAAGTGAAATAAAAATTGGTGGAAGTGGCAAGACTGCAGCAAACGAAGTGATAACATCTGTCATAAAACCTTATTATACTCTCCGTTATCAATTATCAGAGTATGCTTTTAGCTTTCGTTCATTTTTATGGTTAATTATTAATAGTATTACTAATTGAAGCAGAGGTTTTGAAGGAAAGTAACACAGTATTGATTGGCTTGAAGAAAAAGTTTTTGAATCAAACTTACTTTGTAAATCTAAATCAAAATTTTTTAAGATAAATGTAAAAAATCTAAAAATTTTAGTCCATCGGATGATTCTGTAACAACACTACATGATGAATACTCTGATTTTGATGAGTCTGAAAATTTTAGCACTTTAATATTACCGCAAACATCAATAAAGGTTGAAAGATTAATTTCATTTACTTTAAAAATATTTTAGCAAAACAATATTATTCAGTCTCATTTATTTTTAGCCTTTTATCAAAAAACAAAAAAGAAGTCACTGATATCACTGAGGTGATAAGACAAATAAATACTGCACTCATCTAAAGCAGTAATTTCAAAATATTTTCTTACATCGGACTTTATATTAATTCCATGATGATATACTACTGTTCAGGAAAAAAAATCCTACGACTGGGATAATATATGGGGTTAAAGGGCTCTCGACAACTTTCACTTAAATTTCTAGATGGCATGCAACGATGGTGATAATATGTATATGTATCCGTACTTAACATATTTGACACTGAGCGAAAAACAGCACTAATGATAGGCAACTAGTTGAGATTAACAATGAATATTTGTTCATAATTGAGAGACAGAAGAGATTATGCGTTACCTAAACTACTGACATCATTAATTTTTAATTTGAACAAAAGTCTGTATTTTGAGATTAAATTGAAAATAATTGATAATGTGCGCACAAAAACTTTCATCCACCGTGTAAGGATAATGTTAACTCACAGTGTAATAAGGTATCCATAAGTGAATACCATTTATCAAATTTTGATTGTAATCTAACTATTTAACAAAATGATTAGCCTTATTCAGTCAAATTTATGCTTCCATTTAAGTAGAAGTGCAATAAAATAAATGTATAAGCAATTTATTGTGCTTCATTTGTTTAAATCTATTATATTTCGCATTAATTGCTAATTTTTAAAAATCGAAGCATGACACACTTTAATTAATTACTGTTTGTAATTCAAATTTAGAACAGTGTTCATTTATTAATTACATGATTTGGTTTACCATGAAAAGCTCTTTTAATTATTAATCTCATAATAAATCAAAACTACAGCATTTTGTTAAAGACTGAGTGGGTCTTCCAGCGTACTATATAATTTCATTACATTACTGGGTTTAAAAGATAATGTTAATTAACAATGTAAATTGTCAGTTTTGATCTTTTTCTTGAAACAGCATTACCAATAAAAATATAACGCGAATAGTAAAACCGTCAAAAATAGAGTTTTCATTATTCGTATGAAAATATTATCAAAACTGTGGACATTATGAACAAAATTTCATCAAAATGTGGTTTTTTCACTTTAAAGAATTGAAAAATAAATTCAGTGTGATACATTTACACAACGTTCTTCTTTCAAAATAATCATATCAGTAATGAGTATGTCTTCTGAATTATAGATTTGTACACCACTCGAAGGATGAAAAATGGTTAGCAGATTACAAGTATTTATTATTTGCTGAAATTGAGATTACCAAATAGAACTTGTGCTTCGAAACAGAATCATTTGAGATTTGTTAAAAATGTATTCCGATTCTGTCAGAAGTGTTCCAAAAGATAATCGGTATACTGTAGTCCTGTAATTTGGAATAAACTGTAAATCCCTCACAAAACTGTACGTGCTGGATTTCTCGTGCACTTGAAAAGATCTCCGCAGATATCCCGCCGAATTGTTTTCAAAAGAAATAAAAGGTTTAGGGATCATTCCCTCAACAAATAAATGACTGGTACATGCATTTTCAGTTATATCAATATGATGCCATAGAAAAACAGCACTCTGCAAAGCTTGTAACAAACAAATCGTAAGCAATAGGAAGCAGTCATTTTACGATAAAGTTTATAGTAAATGAATTGTTCACTGATTTATCAGTCATTAAAGAAAGCAGCCTTAGGGTAATACTTGTGATCGCTCGTTCATTTTTCATAATCGAATTAATTTTAAAATCTTGAAGTAATAGAAATATCCAGAGAAAGAAGTGTATCAATGTAACTTGTGCAAATCAACTTTGTTCTACTTTCAGAATAAAGAAAAATAATTAGCGAAGTATTTTTTGTGGCATATTTTTGGATAAATAAGGTGTGAAAAACAATATATACAAAAATACATGTCACTGAGAATAGTGTTTATATTAAACAAAAACTACTTCTTAATTAATGTTATATCACTTACATAATCACAATTACATAAATAAAGAACAAAGAAGTTGCTGTTCAACGTCCTTTCTCGATAATCAGTATGGATTCGTTTTTACTCGCTTTTTGCATCAACCATTCAGAAACACATTCTACAAACTTTTTGACAATAAAAAACGGTATTTTCCAAGAAAAAATTTTAAATTTAATATCAAATACGGGAGTGAAGAGAAATGAATGAATGAGAATTACCAAAACGATGCAGATCCCTGAAGTGATGAATAAAAATTTGCCTTTCTCGGTGACTACCAATATTTTTATTAACCAGACTGTCATATACATAACGCACCAGATAAATTATCCACATAACATTAGTCACGGGATAAAATGGAAACCAATTATTCCTGAAATCTTATATCTTCATTGTTCGTTTTCATACAATACGCTTGAAGAACAAAACCATTACATATTTGCCTTGCGCATCGCCCTATAAATATCGAACTGCAAACAGTTTTCACCACTGAAGATTTCATTATCTTTCGCTAAATCAAAAAAAATCGTTGATGTACCTAAACATAAAACAATACTAGAATAGGTATGTATTCAGGTGTATTCAGATCCAATTGTTATTCTTTCGATAACTGAAATTTTTTAAAAATGAACTCAAAAGTCGCAAATTGTGTTGGATTTTCAAAGCTTAGTGAAATGAAATCATGGAAAGCATACCTTGAGTTAAATTAATTATAAAGCGTACCTTTAGACATTCTGGAAAGGGTGAAGTCAATAATTTTCAATTCAACACCATGAGTGAGTAAATTAATTTTACAATCAGCATAGTAAGCTCTGAAAACACTTGATTCAATTTTTTTGAAGTACTTTTAAACAAACACATGTTTCAAATGTTTCTGATAGCATACTCAACAGTGGCATTTGGCTCAACATTTTTAATCATAATATTGCCACAGTGAAGGTCACGATGTTCGAATGACAATCTATGTTCCGCAACAGAGAGAGCAGTTATAACTTGGTAAATAATACTATACGCTTGAGATATATTGCTGACCTAAAAAACAATTTTAATAAATAACATCATAGCACATGAAAAATTAATTTACAAAAATTAATGAAAAGACCTACATTTAAGTGACTTCTATATGCATATATGTAAAGGATTAGGTCTTTTTTCACGCAGAATTTCATTAACATATGCTTGAACAGAATACTACATAAAAATACCACATATTTTTCCAGATCAGTACCACCATCCTCAAAAGCAAGCAGTAAATAATGTTGATAAGAGTTAAAAATTCTTGGATGATCATTTTCTGATTGAAACTGTTTGTCAAATTCTTCCCATGCAGAAATAAGTGACTTCGGGTAGCTTCCTGAAAAAACAGGAAATCAAAAATTTCTACATACAATATAAATACATAAAATGTGGATCTCAGTTTTAATTTTCGCTTTATTGGTTCTGGCGCTGGATTGCATTCGGGCACTCTGGCAGTACTTGTCTCGCGCTCAGATTTGTTGTACTCATCGTTCTCGCTTCGTCATCGTGGAATCCATACCGACTGTCGAAGGAGATACTTACGAGCGTCTTATTGAGAACTATTCGATGGATTACTTTACGTCGCTTCTTATCATGCATACGGTCGACCCGCTTTTATTCTATTACATTTCTCCTCGTGTATCAACTCTGATCTCAACGTTTTCATTTGCGACGACCTCCTGAACAGAATGGCTTCGTAGGCGCGGTAATGCTTTCAGACCATACTTCTTCCAGAGTCCCAAATGGATGCATTGTAGAACCTCATTGTGTCTTCTGTTATAGACGTGATGTAACATTTTTTTCGCACTGCGTTGCTAGATGGTCCACCATCTTCACACGTTCCCAAACATATTTCTATATTGGAGATAATATCATGCCTCTATCTTCCGAGATAATGTTTCCGTATCGCAGCCATTTTGTTAAATCAACTATGGATGAGATTTATTCGTTTGCATCTTGTATAGCTTTTCATGGTGGGTTTTCTTTTCTATTTTGCTGTACGAAAACTCTTTCGGAGTTGCTAATACGTTTCCAACGCTAGATTATCGACGAGGTTGTATCTAACTTTAGATAGGGTACAATAATTGCCAAGTATGTGTTTCTGCTCAACATCCAGACAAATCTCTTTTACTATTTTGTACAGGTCTGGATGCAAGGAGGTACGCTTCTTAATAAAGAAGTTTTAAACTCCATCAGGCCCTGCCGCTTTCAAATTGGGCAAGTAAGAAACTACCTTCTCAAATTCGGCTTCAGAGGGAAAAGTATAATGCACTTCATCACCTGAAAAGAATTCTTCAAGATATTCGTTGTGTTGGATATCATCATACTTTCCCGTTCCGGAGTTCTACATGGCACCCCAAAAATCCCTGATTTCTTCATTCTTACATTCTCGTTTACGGGCTATTTTTCGGTACTTCTATAAAACCGTCTTCCAAAACCATCTTCGAATCTGGCGTTTTGTATTTTGAATGAACATCGGGTCTCATACCTCTTTATTTTACTTTCGTAAACTCACACACAATCTGTAAATATGCTTAATGCTTCATGACATTCACGCTTGAAAGGAAGTATGAGATTCATCCCACTTATAACTTCTTGTCCTCTTTTAAATCTTCACCTCCCAGTTTTTCACCGGCTAAAGACCGTTCTATGAGGGATTTGTAAAT